GGTTGAAGATGTTTGTTGTTTAGGTTTACCTGGCCAAAGGACATATGGACAATGACACTTATATTTCCGGGACTAAAGAATACTGCTGGTCGAATTTTCGCGAGAGATGATTTCTCTCACATTAAGACTTCGCAGTCCGAGGAATCACTGCTACCGTATCCCTCGCGCTTGTCTCAGTTTTCCAAGTCATTTTAGGTGAATTTGATTCCCATTTTATACCGCCTGCAGCACAGCCAGCGTTGTGTACCGTTTTGCCGCACTGACTCATTCGCTTGGCATGACGAACGGGTCTCGAGCGACGCACCTGAAGGGGAGGGGGTGCGAGGAGGACTTCCGCATCAGGTTGGGTCACGGTAGTAGCCGTTCACCGGCCTGCGGAATATCTCCAATTTCTCTCAGCCCACTCGAAGCTGTGCGGTATGCCAAGGTAGGAATAAAATAGAATAGGAGATAGGAAGCACAGTCTTGTTCGCTGCTGATGACTTTGCGTGTCAAGGGGGATGGACTTGGCTCGGGACCAGCCCGCTCCCTTATTTCGGCAACTAGCCAGCTGTACCATATCATTCGTACCGTCGCTTTCCATCAGTTGTTCTCCACTTCAAAAATAGGTGGGGAAGTGGCTGGCGGCGCGCCAAATTCACCTCACCCATTGGCAGTGAACAAGACTGTACCTCATAACGCGCAGAATCATCATTTGGGATCACGGCACGTCATGGCATTGGAAGAAAATTTTGCTGAAGACATCTTTCCTCCCCTGCAGCGACCAGATGTGATCCCGTTAAGATCCCCCACTAAGACGTGCCCTGCTTGGGATGCGTCTCGCATTCTACATACTTCGATTCAGAATTGTAGTGGCATCTAGGATGCGATGAGGCGGTGGTGTAGTGGCACACTTACCGCGCGCACGGTTCGGTTCAATTCCGGACCATCTCCCGCCCAAGGCCAACCAAGGCCTTCTACCCCTGGGGACGGTAAATTGGTACCAGATTCGTCTGGGAGGATAAAACACTGACTTGTACATCGGCTGGCCCCCGCAAGTCATTGTATAGGCCACATCGCATTCAATAAGCCACTACGATTCTGAATGGAAGTAGAATGCGTGCCGCATCCCACAAAGGGATTGATAACGGCGAAGACTTTACCCTTTCATTTAGTGGTAGTGATATAGCCGAGGGACAGTCTTGTAT